CGGCCGCGAGGGGGTCACGTGGTGCGGGCGACAAAATGGCGGCCGCGGGGTGCGTCACGTGGTACGGCAGGCAAGATGGCGGCCGGTGACGTCATTTACGGCAATATGGCGGCCGCGGGGGGTCACGTGGTGTGGGGGGCAAGATGGCGGCGGGCGCCGAGTGACGTCATTTGTGGCAAAATGGCGGCCGCCGGGACCCGGATTTTTTTCGGGGTTTTGGGGGGATTTTGCGCGGTTTTTGTGGGTTGTGCGGGGCTGGAATGGCATTCCGGTTTATGTGGGGCCGGTGGTGGGTGGCGCGGGGGTCTGGGGGGTGCGGGGTGGGGGGGCGCTGTTTTGGTTGGGCGATTGCGGGGGACGTCTGTGCACTGGGGTCCTTTCTGGGGCGTGTCGCGCTGGTGACGTCATCGGGGGTGCGCCGCGGGTGCAGTACTGCGGGGTAGGTGGCAGGGGGTGCTGTGACTGCAGTACCGGCCGGCAAGCAGCAGGTGGCGCTGTGAGTGCAGTACTGGCTGGCAAACACCAGGTGGCGCTGTGAGTGCAGTACTCGCGAGTGAACGGCAGGTGGCGCTGTGACTGCACGATATATATGTAAATGGCATGGGGCGGGGTGTGTGGGATGTAGGGGTGGGGGCACCATGGGAGGGGTGTGTCTGTGGGTGGGGAGTACTGATTACTATTGATTGCTGACAGGTGGGGTCCCTATATACTGTATATAGTAAAAAGAAGAAAAACTATATGTCTGGTGCAGCAGTAGGAAATTTCAGGCTCCCGGGGAGTAAATGGTTTGGTTTTTTTTAATTTTTTTTCTTTTTTTACTCCCAGGGAGCCTGAAAGTTTCTAGTGCTGCTTTTTTAAACTAAAGCTAGAAGGGAAAACAAAGTTAGAAAGACAAGAAAGGAGAAGGAGAGAGAGAGGGAGAGAGAGAGAGAGGGAGAGAGAGAGAGAGAGAAGAAGAGAGAGAGAGAAAGAAGGAGAGAGAGAGAAGAGAGAAGAGAGAAGAGAAGAGAGAGAGAGAGAAGAAGAGAGAGAGAGAAGGAGAGAGAGAAGAGAGAAGGAGAGAGAAAGAAGGAGAGAGAGAGAAGAGAGAAGAGAGAAGAAGGGAGAGAGAGAGAGAGAAGAGAGAAGGAGAGAGAGGGAGAAAGAGAGAGAGAAGGAGAGAGGGGGGAAGAAGGAGAGAAAGAGAAAAGAGAGAGAAGCAAAAAGAGTTGGAAAAAATAGAGGGAGAGGAGAGAACAGGGACAAAGACAGAGAAAGAAGAGAGGAGGAGAGAACAGACAGAGGGAGGAGACAGAGAGGAAAAGACAGAAGAAAATAAAACAGGAAGACAGAGTGAGACAGGAAAAGGAGGGTGGGAGAACTGAAGAAGGACAGGAGTTAGAGGGAAAGGAAAGTGGTTAGGATTAGAGTGAAAGTGAAAACTTAGGAGTGGGGTGAAAAAGGAAAAGACTAAGACCAAAAAAACACAAACCAAGGAAAAGGAGAACACTGAGAGAAAAAGAAGCAAGAAGACTGAGATTGACAGTGATAAGGAAACAGAAACAAAGGGTTAGAGATAGATGGAAGTTAAGTTAGAAATAGAACAGTAAAGTGAGGAGCAAAAGGAAGAAATACAGTGGAAAGAAATGACAAAACCACACCAAAAAAAGACAGGAGCCACGGTGGGGAAAGGAAGGGCAGGGGGTATCTTTATTAAGGGTCACTCAACTTTATTGAAAGAATGCTTTTATTTATACATCAGCAAAATACATGGAAACAGTGTATACAAGTGCAGATACAATGCATAGACACACTGGTCAAAGTCTAATTTACATATAGAGCAATACAGCAAAATGAAGCAGTTAATGCAAATACAGAGCAGCAATACAGAGCAGCAATACAGAGCAGCACAGCAAAATGCAGCAGGTAAGGCAAATGCAATACAGAGCAATACACATATTAACACAAAGCAATAACCTTTTTCTATTTTCATTAGAGGTTGATTTATTGTTACAGGAAACTCAAAACAACAAAAGCACACAGAAAACAACACTCATCTACCATTAACACCCCCTTCAGCTTACACACAAACTCACCATCACTGCCATCACAACTGCTAAATTACTCCCCAGCAATCATTGGTCCTCAGGAACGCAGTTCCCGGGTGCCTCCAAAAAATCCTCCTGCCTGACGAAAACCCCGGTCCCTGGACGGTCTGCGCCCAAACTTTGGTGATGAACGTTGCCTCGCAGACCGACCGGGACCCGGGAAAAAAAAACCCAGCCGGGGGGAAAAAAAAAAAAACCCCCCGGCTGGGGATTTTTTATTCTAAATTTAAAAATGATTTGAAAAACCTGAAAAGCAAAAGTCATATAAGGTTACAACCCTTCAACACACACATACACACACACACACCTCCTTCAGCTTACACACAAACCCACCCTCGCTCACACCTCAACCTCTCTGCTAACCCCCGGCACGCATTCGCGCCGCTCCTCGGGAACGCGGTTCCCGGGAGCCTCCAAAAAAATCCTCCTGCCTGACAAAAACCCCGGTCCCTGGACGGTCTGCGCCCAAACTTTGGTGATGAACGTTGCCTCGCAGACCGACCGGGACCCGGGAAAAAAAAAACCCAGCCGGGGGGAAAAAAAAAAAAACCCCCCGGCTGGGGATTTTTTATTCTAAATTTAAAAATGATTTGAAAAACCTGAAAAGCAAAAGTCATATAAGGTTACAACCCTTCAACACACACATACACACACACACACACCTCCTTCAGCTTACACACAAACCCACCCTCGCTCACACCTCAACCTCTCTGCTAACCCCCGGCACGCATTCGCGCCGCTCCTCGGGAACGCGGTTCCCGGGAGCCTCCAAAAAAATCCTCCTGCCTGACGAAAACCCCGGTCCCTGGACGGTCTGCGCCCAAACTTTGGTGATGAACGTTGCCTCGCAGACCGACCGGGACCCGGGAAAAAAAAACCCAGCCGGGGGGAAAAAAAAAAAAAACCCCCCGGCTGGGGATTTTTTATTCTAAATTTAAAAATGATTTGAAAAACCTGAAAAGCAAAAGTCATATAAGGTTACAACCCTTCAACACACACATACACACACACACACACCTCCTTCAGCTTACACACAAACCCACCCTCGCTCACACCTCAACCTCTCTGCTAACCCCCAGCATGCATTTGAGCCGCTCCTCGGGAACGTGGGTCCCGGGAGCCTCCAAAAAAATCCTCCTGCCTGACGAAAACCCCGGTCCCTGGATGGTCCGTGCCCAAACTTTGGCGATGAACGTCGCCTCTCAGACCGACCGGGACCGAGGAAAAAAAAAACCCAGCCGGGGGGGAAAAAAAAAACCCCCGGCTGGGGATTTTTTATTCTAAATTTAAAAATGAATTACAAAACCTGAAAAGCAAAAGTCACATACACAAGGTTAAAACTAGTCAGCATGTGCTCACACACACAGAGACGAGTGGACACAGACATACACAGTCATGTGCTCTCACACACGCTCTTCCTGCTTACAGGCTCGCTATGGCCCTTACTCGAGACGCTGAAGAACGTGCTTCGACGCATCTTCTGGCTGCCGCTCCATGACGTCGAATGGTAGATTCTGGGGAAATCGGTAGCCTCGAGGACCTGTGAGACGACAGGAATTGGTCAACTTGTGGCTGACAGCTAGGAATTTTCCCCACTCTGGACCAATAAATTTTCTACCCAATATGCCATAAAAGACAGATGAACAGTAAAGTTTTTACAACTGTTCTACCTAACTATGACTACATGCCAGGGCAGGGCAGCTCCAATCATAAGTGGTATATTATAAGTACATACAATATAAGCAAACGCATACAGTGCAAGTGTACATACAGTGTAAGTAGACACAATATAAGCCGACACAGGTACACGCAATATAAGTATATACAATATAAGCCTATACAATACAAGCCAACACAGGTACACGCAATATAAGTATATACAATACAAGCCTATACAATATAAGCCAACAAAGGTACATGCAATATAGGTACACACAATACAAGCCAACACAGGTACACGCAATATAAGTATATACAATATAAGCCTATACAATATAAGCCAACAAAGGTACATGCAATATAGCTACACACAATACAAGCCAACATAGGTACACGCAATATAAGCCAAGACTTGAGATAACTCTGTGGAAGATTAATTGTTGGGCCCCATACCCTTTGAAAAGATGGAACCTACAGAACAACTGCAGTCACTTGAGGAGGGTGGAAGACGCTCCCTCTAGAAGTCCAAGATAATGGCATGGAAAAAAAAGCACTACCAAAGCTGGTAGTGAGAAGGAAGATGGATGAGAAAATCTTGTAATCCTTTCCTGTCTCAAAGAGTAAAAATGTAAAGATGCCAGAATAAGCTATATCTGGGAAGGAATGTGAGTAAAATACTGCCTATATGGCACAAAATAGTGCCTGTAAAGCGTCGAGATGTAACAAAGGCCTATGACACGGAAGACAATAGACACAGACTACATAACACGGACGACACAACATAGACACGGATGGCATAACAGAGACACGAGTAAACTGCCTAGCGCTTTCAACTTATGGACCCGAGATTCGTAGCGCAAGATGAGCCAGAGGCCGATGATGCCAAAGGAAAGAAAGCCCTATGATGATGGCACGTGATGATGAAACGTAACTCATTAAAAGAACTTAGTGCCAAAGCAGTTAAGAGGATGCTCAAGAGGCTCGGTGAGCCTAGAGAAGGAAGCCGACTGCCGGGTGACCGTGGCCGTAGCTCCGGACCTGAAGGCGAGCTCCTCGGGGGAAAGATCCGTGACGACGTCGAGTCGAGGAAGGCGGACGACGCAAAGTTCCCGAGAACGTGGAGATGGGTTGGAACTGCCCTGCCCGGCAAAGGCTCTGGTCAGGCTGAGGAGAAACCCTCTCCCTTTACTTCCAGAGAGCCTGTCCCGCTACAGACCTCTCCGCTAAGCTGACGTGAAATTGCCCCCTGTGATAGTAAAGGTTTTTCCCCTTCTCCCGACCGCTGGCCCCGACACTTAGCTTTTGGAAGAGGAGCAGACAAAATCCATCCTCGGTCGCACGTGGACGTTGATATGTTCTCCGCGTGTGCTTCGGTGTTGCCGTTTCTAAGCTTTGGGTAAGAGCCTCCTCAGGGTACCTAAGACAAAACAGAAAAGGTGACTATTGCCCTCAACAACAGTAATCCCCGGGACTCCTCCGCACCACTCCCCCGGCTCACCTCAAATCTTGATTTGACTCCGGAGGCTGGCCAGAAGATACCTGCAAAGAGAAAAGGTACATGCTTAGCATGCTGCTGCATAACATTCACCTATGAGTCAGCCTGCCTAAACGCCGACTCACCTGCCCTCCTCTGTTCCTTGGCGTACCTAGGGCAGCAACAGCACCTGCAAAGTAACAAAGCAGAAAAGCATGCTGAGATACTGTGAAAACACAACCTCCCAAATCTGACAAATATGCCACACCGATACCTTAAGCTCGCACCCACCTGGCACGGATATGCTCGGCTAGGATAGATTGCAAGCGGACCACCTAAAATAAAAAAAAAAGAGATGCTTAAAGCTGCACCAGAAACTGAGACCTCAGCAATAACAATTGCTTCTGTACGCTAGTCAATGCTCACCTCGCCCACTTGGCCTTGACTGCTGCTCTCGGCTTTAACTTCCTAAAAAGAGAGACAAAGAACAATGCTGTAACAGCCACCATTTATGCTTCCTCTACAGAAACAAGTAGTGCCTCACCTGCTTGGGGGAATCCCCTCACCCGGGATGGGGCCCTCTGGCACAGATTTAATCCATCTGAATCTGAAAAAAGGTTAGGACAAGAGTCAAACTGTTGCAGGATAACTTAAGAGCTCCAGATATCTTGTGTCCATCTACAAATCCCATCTAGAGTCCAACTACACCCCACATTACAAACTTCAAGTCCCCGGGACTTCTCCTATTGCGCCGGGCTATGCGGCAGGGCAGCGCAGCTCCGGCACAAATGTGTGTGCTGACACCCGTGACGGGACGTGACAGACGACGGGGACGCGACATGGACAGAAATCTCCTGGCAAGGAAAATGGCTGCGACGACTGAGAGAATGCAAAAGGAGATGACCAAGGTGAAACTGATGGTGAGCTGATGAGGCTCAGAGAACACTGGAGGAAAAAGATGCTAACTGAATGATTTATTCCAAGAACTGCAAAGATGGATGCCCGAGAATCCTACGGCCAGAAGCCTCTACCTGCCCTCACGTTCTTACAAGTCCTAGTCCGCCATAATGGATCCTGGCGGGGTATAGCTGTCCATACAGCTCAGCACAAGACCTGAAAAAACAGCTGACTGGATGCTTATAAAAAGAGATGAGAGTCTGAGCTCCCGAGTCAAAAGTTCTATGGCATGGGTGCCAGGCCAAGGAACGCTGAGAGCACAGATGCTAAGACTGGTGCCAAGGTTTCTGGTAGGCCCCTCAAAGGGCTAAGATAAAAGACATGAGACAGCTAAACAAGACATAATGCACAACAGACAAGTGACACAATACACACCGGGACTGCTCTGCCCTGCTCACCTCAGCACGGTGATCAAAAGTGAGATTTTGCTTTTAGGGGGCCTAAGGGGCCACTTCTTGGCTACCCTCGTCTCCAGAGCCAACTCAAAACCTCCCCCATCCCAGGAGTGCCGACCCAGCACCTCGCTTTCATCCCCTCTGTGGGTCGTGGCCCTCTACTTATCTCTCGGACATCCGGGGATGCCGGTCCGTGTCGGGTGCGAAGAAAGGCCGCCTCGCCGGCTGGGAAGTTGTGCTGTCACCGGGCTGTTGTCTCTTAGACAGCTATATTAAAGAAAACCAAACATCAACGCCTGACCTTGGCACCACATCGGCCAAAACCCCACAAGTCTGCTACTCACCGTTCTTCTAAGAAGGCCTGGCACCTCGTAACCATAACCCTCTGCCACAGATGTAATTCATCTGCACCTGAAAGAAAGGTAGAACATATGTCAAACACATGCACGATAACTCAAAAGCTGCAAACACCTTATGTCAACCTAGGAATAGCATCTAGAGTCCAAGTACAGCCCACATTACAACTTTCAACTCCCCGGGGCTTCTCCTATTACACTAGGCTATGCGGCAGGGCAGAGCAGCTCCGGCACAAATGTGTGTGCTGACACCCGTGACACGGGACATGACAAACAATGGGCACAAGACACGGACAGAAATCCCTAGGCAAGAAGGATGACTGCGAGGACTGAGAAGATGCCAAATGAGATGACCGAGGTAAGACAGACCGATGGCGAGCTGATAAGGCTCAGAGTGCCCTGGAGAAGGAAGATGCTAAACTGAATGTTTTAGTCCAAGAACTGCAAAGATGAATGCACAGGAGCCCTACGGTCAGAAGCCTCTACCTGCCCTCACATTCTTACAAGTCCTAATCCACCATAATAGAACCTTGCAGAGTGCAGCTGTCCATACAGCTCAGAACAAGACCTGAAAAGACATCTGACTGGATGCTTACAAAGAGTTGCAATTCTGATGCCTGTCTGAGCTCCCGAGTCAAAAGTTTTATGGCCTGGGTGCCGGGCCAAAGAAACGTGGAGATCGTGGCTGCTAAGAATACTGCCGAGGTTTCTGATAGGCCCCTCAAAGGGCTAAGATAAAAGACATGAGACACCCAACCAAGACATAATGCACGTTAGACAAGTGACACAATACACACCGGGACTGCTCTGCCCTGTGCACCTCAGCACTGTGATCCAAAGTGAGACTTTGCTTTTAGGGGGCCTAAGGGGCCAATTCTTGGCTACTCTCATCTCCAGAGCCAACTCAAGACCTCCCCTCCCCGATCCCAGGAGTCCCAACCCAACACCTTGCTTTCATCCCCTCTGTGGGTCGGAGCCCTCTACTTATCTCTCGCACAGCTGGGGATGCCGGTCCGTGTTGGGTGCGAAGAAAGGCCGCCTCGCCGGCTGGGAAGGTCCTGCTGGCACCGGGCTGGTGTCTCTTAGACAGCTATATTAAAGAAAACCAAACATCAGTGCCTGATCTTGGCAGCCCATCGGCCAAAACCCCACAAGTCTGCTACTCACCCTTCTCCTAAGAAGGCCCGGCTCCTCGGGTGGCACGCTTCGGGAACGCTCGGAGGCCGACGCCGTCGTCGTGGGGTACGCCTGGGTTAAGAAGACAGGAGGCGATGTGGCATTGCTGAAAACTGACTGGACCCTCGGTCCTCCTCCCTACTTCCCTGACTCACCGCAACTCCTCGGTGGTTCCTGACTGCTACCCGGAAGACGGGGCTCATCAGGGTGAAAAATTCGGTCCGTCGGCCGGGTGGGGATGGGAGCTTGGCGTGCTCCGAGTGGATTGCCTAAGGCACAAAAACGAGAATGGAGACTTAGACTTGCCCCCTTAGAATTCAGACCTCAGCAACAAGAAAGGCTACTGCTCACCTTGCTCTCTTGAACTTGACTGCTGGGATCCAGCTATACTTCCTAAAAATAAAGACAAAAAACAGCGCTGTAATAGGGTCACACTTGACACTCCCCCTGCACAGACAAATGGTAACTGACCTGCTTGTGGGAACCCCCTCACCCAGGATGGGGGGCTCTGCCATGGATGCAATGCATCTGCACCTGAAAGAAAGTTAGAACATATGTCAAACACCTGCAGGATAACTCAAAAGCTACAAACACCTTAGGTCAATATAGGAATAGCATCTAGAGTCCAAGTACAGCCCACATTACAACCTTCAACTCCCCGGGGCTTCTCCTATTACACCAGGCTATGTGGCAGGGCAGAGCAGCTCCGGCACAAATGTGTGTGCAGACACCCGTGACACGGGACAGACAGGACGTGACAAACAACGGGCACACAACACAGACAGAAATCTCTGGGCAAGAAGGATGACTGCAAGGACTGAGAAGATGCCAAATGAGATGACCGAGGTGAGACCGATGGTGAGCTGACGAGGCTCAGAAAACACTGAAGGAAGAAGATGCTAACTGAATGATTTATTCCAAGAACTGCAAAGATGGATGCCCGAGAATCCTACGGTCAGAAGCCTCTACCTGCCCTCACGTTCTTACAAGTCCAAGTCTGCCTTAATGGATCCTGGCGGGACATAGCTGTCCATACAGCTCAGAACAAGACCTGAAAAGACACCTGACCGGATGCTTCTAAAGAGACAAGAGAGTCTGATGCCTGTCTGAGTTCCCGAGTCAAAAGTTCTATGGCATGGGTGCCAGGCCAAGGAATGCAGAGATCACAGATGCTAACAATGATGCCAGGGTTTCTGACAGGCCCCACCAAGGCCTAAGGTAAAAGACATGACATATGCAAACAACACATAATACACAAAAGACAAGTGACACGATACACACCGGGACTGCTCTGCCCTGCACACCTCAGCACTGTGATGAAAAGTCAGGCTTTCCTTTTATGGGGCCTAAGGGGCCGCTTCATGGACACCCCCCACCTCCAAAGCAGACTCAAAAACCCCTCCCAGTAATTCCCAAACCAGCACCCTGCTTTCATTCCCTCTGTGGGTCGTGGCCCTCTACTTATCTCTCGGACATCTGGGGATGCCAGTCTCCGGTGCGAAGAAAGGCCACTTCGTCAGCTGGGAAGGTCCTGCTGGCACCGGGCTGGTGTCTTAGACAGCTGTATTAAAGAAAACCAAACATCAGTGCCCGATCTTGGCAGCCCATCGGCCAAAACCCCACAAGTCTGCTACTCACCCATGCTCCTAAGAATGCTCAGCTGCTCGGGCCGCACGCTTCGGGCACGCTCGGAGACCGAGGCCGTCGTCACGGGGGGTGTCTGGGTTAAGAGGAGATAAGGTGATTTGGCACGGCTGAAACCTGAGTAGAACCTGGCTCCTCCTCCCTACTTCCCCTACTCACTGCAACTCCTCGGCAGCTGCTGAAGGCCACCTGGATGGCACCTTTAAATAGAGTTCAGGGTTTCATCACCAGGTCCTGTAATGCATCCGCAGGGCTCACACGTGCAGGGAACCCAGTGCATCGGCCGGCTGGTGACGGGGGCTTGGCAGGCTCCGAGTGGATTGCCTAAAGCACAAAAAAGAGAATGGAAGCTTAGAGCAGCACCAGAAACTGAGACTGGAGCAATAACAGCTACTTCTCTCCACTGCTCACCTTGACTGCTGGTATCCAGACTTAGTTCCTAAAAAGAAAGAAAGAACAGAGCTGTAACAGAGTCACCACATACACTTCTGTTGCAGAGACAAATGGTGCCTCACCTGCTCGGGGGAAACTACTCACCCGGGATGGGGCCCTCTGGCACACATTTAATCCATCTGAATCTGAAAAAAGGTTAGGACAAGAGTCAAACTGTTGCAGGATAACTTAAGAGCTCCAGATATCTTGTGTCCATCTAGAGTCCAACTACACCCCGCATTACAAACTTCAAGTCCCCGGGACTTCTCCTATTGCACCGGGCTATGTGGCAGGGCAGAGCAGCTCCGGCACAAATGTGTGTGCTGACACCCGTGACACGGGACAGGATGTGACAAACAACGGGAACACGACACAGACAGAAATCTCCTGGCAAGGAAAATGGCTGCGAGGACTGAGAAGATGCAAAAGGAGACGACCGAGGTGAGACCGATGGTGAGCTGATGAGGCTCAGAGAAACCTGGAGGAAGAAGATGCTAACTGAATGATTTATTCCAAGAACTGCAAAGATGGATGCCCAAGAATCATACAGCCAGAAGCCTCTACCTGCCCTCATGTTCTTTCACGTCCTAGTCCGCCATAATGGATCCTGGCGGGACATAGCTGTCCATACAGCTCAGAACAAGACCTGAAAAGACACCTGACCGGATGCTTCTAAAGAGACAAGAGAGTCTGATGCCTGTCTGAGCTCCCGAGTCAAAAGTTCTATGGCATGGGTGCCAGGCCAAGGAATGCAGAGATCACAGATGCTAACAATGATGCCAGGGTTTCTGACAGGCCCCACCAAGGCCTAAGGTAAAAGACATGACATATGCAAACAACACATAATACACAAAAGACAAGTGACACGATACACACCGGGACTGCTCTGCCCTGCACACCTCAGCACTGTGATGAAAAGTCAGGCTTTCCTTTTATGGGGCCTAAGGGGCCGCTTCATGGACACCCCCCATCTCCAAAGAAGACTCAAAAACCCCTCCCGGTGGGTCCCTACCCTGCGCCCCGCTTTCATCCCCTCTGTGGGTTGTGGCCCTCTACTTATCTCTCGGACATCTGGGGATGCCTATCCATGTCAGGTGCAAAAGAAGGCAGACGCAACATCTGGGAAGTTCCTGCTGGCACTGTTGTTCAACAACTCCCTGTTGTTTCTTAGTCAACTACATGAAAGAAATCCAAATATCAATGCATGATGTTTGCAGCACACTGGCCAAAACCCAACAATTCTGCTACTCACCGTTCTCCTAAGAATGCCCGGCTCCTGGGGCCGCACCCTTCGGCCGCGCTCCGAGGTTGATGCCATTGTCACGGGGTAAGCCTGGGTTAAAAGGAGACGAGGTCATGTGGCATTGCTGAAACCTGAGTGGACCCTAGCTCCTCCTCCCTACTTCCCCAACTCACCGTGACTCCTGACTCCTCGGCCCGTGCCCAAGGCTACCCTGGTGACACCTTTATATAGAAAAGGCAGAGGCTTCATCAACGAGTCCCGTGATTCTTCCGCAGGGCTCGAGAGAGCGGCACACCCGGTGCGTCAGCCGGTTGGTGACTGGGGCTCGGCGTACTCCGAGTGGATTGCCTAAAGCGCAGAAACAGGAACAGATGCTTAGAGTTGCACCGGAAAGTGAGACTGGAGCAATAACAACTGCTTCTGGACACTACTCAATGCTCACCTTGCCCACCTCATCTTGACTGCTGATATCCAGCTTTACCTCCTGAAAAGAAAAAGAACAGTGCTGTAACAAAGTCACACTTTACACTCCCCCTGCAGAGACAAACGGTGACTGACCTGCTTGGGGGAACCTCCTCACTCAGGATGGGTGGATGGATTTTGCCCTGGATTTTATCCTTCTGCGTCTGAAAGAAAGTGAGGACAAAAGACAAAGGGCTGTGGGATAACTTCACAGCTCCAAATATCTTCTGTCTATCTAGGAATATCATCTAGAGTCTGGCAACACCCCACAAACTGCAAGTCTATGGGACTTGTCCTGTTGCAGCAGGCTATGCGGCAGGGCAGGGCAGAGCAGCTCCGGCACAAATATGTGCAGACACCCGTGACACGGAACGTGACAAACAGGGGGACAACAAACACAACACATTATGCTTGTGGTGAGGGTCTCGAGGGGAAAAGGCAAAAGGGACCCCAAAGACACACTAGGTAACATGGTATGCCGGACAACACGACGTGGACCGGAACTGTTCTGCGCTGCCTGCCTGAAAGCTGCCGTCAAAAGGAGAACCTCTCCCTTTAGCTGTCCTAAGAGGCCCCTTGGAGAAGATTACTTTTCCCTCTGCTAATTTTTAAATCTGTCCCAGGAACTCCCAACCCACTACTCTCCCATCATCCCATCTCCAGGCCGTAGCCTTGACTTATCTTTTGGATGATCGGTGATGTGGATCCGCGTTGCGCCTGAAATGAGTCTGCCTCGGAGGGCCCCGTGATCACCTGTTAGCCTCTCGGTCAGCTACAATAAAGAAAAACAAAACCAAAGTATGAGTACAGAGTTATGTGGGCCAAATCCCAGCAAGTCAGCTACTTGCCCTCTCCTGAGTGTGCCTGGCTCCTTCAGGCTCCAGCTTCATCCTGATTCCAAGGCTGTGGCCATTATTATGAGTGGTGCATGGGTTAGAGAAAGGCAAAGTAAATAGCATTCCTGTGAGTGCAGTGGATGACCTTGTGTGCTGTAAGACATGTGAATGCCTCTGCTAGGCTTCTAAAAAGCCTTGGGGTGGGGGGGGGGGGGGGGGGGCCTCAAATAATCACCCTTTCTCACCCTGCTGCCTTCAAAACCACCCCCCCCCCCCAACAATAACTCCTAACTGGATACCTGCTCAGCCTCCCTCTCCTAGTCACATGCCTCAACTCACCTGAAGCCTCAATCTCAAACATTATCTTTGACACTGGGCAGATCCCTCTTGTGACATGATGAATCTGCTGAAAAGTGTCGTAGCTGACACAACCTGGAGCCTCTGGAAGCTGCACTCTTCCTAAAAAAAAATACAAACCAAAATACAAACAAAACCAGAAATTACAAATGCACTTTACCACCCCTAAACACAAAACCCAAAATTGTGAACTTAAATACTCCCTGTATTCTATGCTGTTTTCTTCACAGGATCTTCAAAGCCTCTGTTGCTTTAGATGCCCAGAAGCACCTACTGAAAACAAGCTAAGATAAGCTGAAAGAGCCTCTTCTCTGAAATGAGAGGAAAGCTCTTGTCCTAGCACAGCCCAGAGAGGGAATGAACCCCCTCAGCAAAAGCTGGGGTTAATATACCCCTGATGGTGCCCGCCTCTCGTTCCCATGGCACCCAGGAAAAGGGAGGGGGCGAATCCCACCGGGCATAAAAGCCCTCAGAGAAGCTACAGCTGTTTGGCTCCTCTGACTCAAATTCAAGGGGAGCAAAGGGCTTGTTATAGAAGAAAACTCTTCAGAAAAATAACAGCACTTTCTTTTTTGCAACAACTACTTGGAGTAAAAGGGTAGAAAACTGGTAAGAAATATAACTTTCTGTTTAGGCAGCATAACTAGATAAATTGGGTAATTTGCTGTTAACTTACTTATAATTATTCCTTAGTGGCTACTAAGTAGTACTTCACGTGTGACTGAGCTGGGTGGAGAAGAATGCTTATGATATGAATAGTCTAAGTCTCCTTGGGACCTCTAATTAGGCCTATCTACATTATAAGTAAAAATAAGAAAAATAAAAGCTTCCCAGGCAGTGTAAGGGTTAAGTGCCTGCCAGGCTCACCCTGCTCTGAGGTACTTGGTCCTACGGCACAGAAAGAAGGGCCCTGAAATGTAGTTTTAAACCCTTAAAATGCTGAAAAAGGCAGAGCTTCCTTCCAGTACACCCCTTAAACAGAGGAAATGGGGTAGTTACCTCTACTGAAACTAATACAATAGCAAATAAATAGCTTCTGCCCTTTGATTTATTCTCCTCAAGTACTGGGAAAAGAGGGGTTTTCATCACTTTAAATCTCTCTAGTGATGAAAAAAGAGGGATTTTTCCCTCAGTTCAAACTCTTATGGAGGGATAGCTGGGCTTCTCCCTCAATTTAGGCCTCAGGACAACAAAAAGGGGCCGGCTACCCTAAATTCAAATCCATAGGAAACATTTTCAATATTTTCCCCTTCTACTTAAACTGGGAAATAATAGAAAATGAGGACTCCCTGTCAATTAACACCCCTGACAGCATAGAAAAGGCAGGGATTCTTTCAACTGAGACCATTAAAATTGCAGGGGAAGCAGAGTCCCTCCCAGTTGGAACACAAAAAATAAAGGAAAAGGAAGCTTTTTGCCTTTTTTCTAAACCCTTTTTCTCCTAATAACCCCTCTCCTTTCTGGGAGTGCTGTGGAGGGTCTGGGGGCCCTGGGGAGGGACTGACACAGTAAAAGGGGAAAGTTGAAAGCCCTCTCCTGGAACCCCCAAATGCTGCCTGGCCTGCTCAGATGCTGCCCCTTGGCAAAAGGGCTCTTCCCTTGGCATTTTCTCAAAGTGATGCTCTGTGCTCAGGTGAGTCTGGCTGCTCCCTAGTCCGTGCTGGATGCTCCGACCGTAGTTCCTGGAGGGACCCTTGGGATGCCCCTGTTAGCCACTCTGGACTAGCAGCTCCCTGTGCCGGTGTGCCTGGGTAACCCTCTGAAAGCAGCTGGGCACACGGGGGGCTGCTAGACCTTGGAGTGGGGCTTGAGGTGAAGAAAGGTCCTGTGAGGAGTTCCTTCCCCTGCACAGCCCTTCGTCTGCCCCTTAAACCATGGGCTGCCAGACTTTCCTTTCTAAGGAAATTAACCGTCTTTATTCTCTGTGTGCCCATGGCCAAAACTGCGAATCGGCCTCCAAAACTGCAGAGAACGATTTCTCACGGACCGCGGCTGCCAACGCCGAGAACTCTTGCCGCCCTTGGAGGGCCACGTGCCTCCTGCAAACGGACGTCCACGTGCAGCGGGGCTGAGTTTGGCTTTACGGGGAAGAGGGCCGGCGCAGGATTTCTCGGGGAGCAAAGCTGCCCCCGCCGAGAGCTCGGGCTGCCCTGGCAGTGCCGAGCACCTCCTGCAAACTGGCATTGGGAGACGCGGGGGGTGAGTTTTTCTGTGCAGAAGTTCTCCCAGACCATAGCTGAGAGCATCTAACCCTGACCACAACTTATCTGGGTCTAAAACTTACAACCTTTGGACTGGCAGCGTGGGACCCAACCCGCTGTGCCACTGCTGGCCCCTTTCTAAAGCATTCCATTGCAGTCCTAAAACTCTGCCTTTTTGGAGGCTGTTTTCTCTGACCCTGACCATAATCTTCCAAATATGCTAAAGACTCATAAAATGGCTTTGAAAAAGCCCCAACAATACCCTAAGAAGTCCCAGAAAAGTCCCTTCCAAAATCCCCTAAATACCTTTAAAAGTCCTGGAAAAAAAACCTCAAAAAGACATGCTCAGTCTCCAAACTCTACCTCTTGCTGTCTAGCCCACAGATGTCGTCCCTACCTTGCTGCAGTGTGTCTGTTGTCCTCTGAGGGTTCTGTCCTTGTCCTGGTGTGTGAGGGTTGCTGTCTGGTCTCGCTGTTAGGGTTGCTGTGTTGTGCTGCTGTTGGGGGAAAAGGCTGTTTTTAGGGGGGCTGCTTAGGCTGAGGTTAGGGCTGGGGTGAGGGGTGGTACAGCTGTACCCTGTACCCTTGATCTCCACTGGACTGTCCGGCCCTCAAGCCCTCTCCCTTTACCCCTCAACTGGTCCCTCTGCCCCCCAGCCCTCAGCTCCTGTGTGTCACCCTTGACCCCTCTCCTTTGCCCCTCAGCCCCCAGCTTCTCTGCGTCACCCTACAGCTGCCCCTGCCACCCTCAGCATCTCTGTGTGTCACCCGCTGTCCCCTCTCCCTGTTCCTCCCTCAGCTCCCAGCCTCTGTCACCCTCAGGCCCCCACAGTGCCCCTCAAGCTGCCCCTCAGCCTCCATGTGTTGTGCCATGAAAAGACCCTAAAAAAACCTAAAAATTCCCTGAAAACCTCCTAATCTTCAAAATATCCTAAAAACCCCATGAAAACCTAAAAGCAGCCTCAGAATGCTGTTAGAATACACTGGAAATATCCTACTTTTAAAAAACCCCTAAAAATCCCCAAAGAACCTTTAGAAATCCCTAAATATACCCTAAATAGTTCAAAAAGAGCTCAAAAAATACCCCAAAATCCTTAAAATGCCCTGATAAGATCCTAAAAAACCTAAAAATTTCCTCAAAAACCCTAAAAATACCCTAGCCCTAAAAAGTCCTCCACATACCCTCAATAGTCCTAAAAAAACCCCAAGAACACCCAAATCCCCCCCCAAACAGTTCTTAAAAGTACTAAGAAAGCCCTTAAAAAACCCTAACAAAATCTTTTAAAAGCCCTGAAAAAGCCCTAAAAGTATCCTAAACATTACCAGAAAATTCCTGGAAAACTCCTCCAAAAAAGCCCTAAAATATCCTTTTAAAGCCATGAGAAAAACCCTAAAAAAACCCCTAAAAAAACTGCTCAGCACCCAACTTCTACCTGTCACGCTCTAGACCACAAACATCATTGCTACCTTTTCATTAGGGTTGCTGCCTGCAGCTGCTGGGAGAGTTCTGGGGCTGTCCCAGCATTGGGGTTACTGCCTTGTGCTGCTGTTGGGGAAAACTGGGGTCCTAGGGGTGCTCTTTAGGGTGACCTTGGGGTTGGGTTGAGGGCTGCTGCACCTGTACCCTAACCCTACCTGGTACCCTGTGTCTTTTGTACCCCTAACCCTCAGTGTGAGCTCTCCATCTGTCAAGCCTCCCCCTCCTTGCCCCTCAGCCCGCAATGTCTGCGTGCCCCCCCGAGACCTCTGATATTGTCCCTTGGCCCCCTGGCCTCCACCGTGCGCTCTCCACCTGGTTAGGGGTGGTTTTTAGGGTAAGGTTAGGGGTGGTGTGAGGGGTGGTTCACCTGTCACCCTCAAGCAGCCCCCACTTTGCCCCTCAAGGCATCTGCTTCCCCTCACCCTCTTCTTGTCACCCTCAAGCTCCCCACTCCCAGCCTCTCAGCATCTCTGTGCCACCCTGGAGCCCCCCAGTTGCTCCTAAAGCCCCCTTCTGCCTCTCAGCTCCCCCCATCCTCTGTGTCACCCTCCAGCCCCCTCCCCTCAGCCCGCAGCCCCTTGTGACACCCTGCAGCCCACAGACGTTGTCCCTGCCTGTCTCGCCTGGGTGTTGTCCTGCTGCGAGAGCCGCGCCGTCCTCCGAGGGTTCGGGCTCCTGCGTGCTGCTGGAGGGGACTCACGGATGGGCGGTGGGTGAAGTAACGGATGGAGCAGGAAGTGTGGTGGGACGGGTTAAGGGCGGGCTGGAAAATAGAGTAGGGTTAGGGGTGGAGAAGGGGACGCAGCAGCAGGGGGCTGAGGTGAGGAGGTGAGTGTTAGGAGGAAGCGTAACTCCGTAACTCCAAGACCGAGTCTGCAGCCAACGAGAACTCTGAGTGACCTGGGAGTGGTGAATGTCTTTGGCAAACTGATGTAAGGAAACTGGGGTGATGAGTTTTGTTTCCCGTGGGAAAGGGGTGGCATTTGTGTCCGTGGGCCTGCACCCTGCCCAGGACCTTAGATCTCGAGTGGGCTGCCACCTCCTAAAATTCCAAACATCGCAGGTGAGACAGGGGGTCAGAAATTTTACTTGGGGTAGAAACCAATTTTGGATTTAGCTGAAGTCTGCTGGTGAAAGTTGTGTAGTCTGTTAATTGGTGTGCTTGCAAAAAGGCCTGCAGAGAGAACAAAGGAAGTTCGAGGATTCTGTGGGAAAAAGAGAATCTGGGTTACGACCGAGTGCACGGCCTCGTCCCTGTGTGAGTAAAAGTTTGAGGTTTTGCTGGCAGTGTCACCGAGTGCTGAGGGGTCCCCTGGTCGATAGGGCAACTTGGGAGGGTTTGCTTCAGGCTTTGCTTGTGAAAGGTGTGAGAAAAGCAAGCACCTCTGAAGCAAATGAGCCCCCTCTTGCCTGTTGAAGTGTTGCATAAATCAAAGATAAACCTCAAGGTCCCTTCCCACCCAAACCATTCCGTGATTCTTTGCCCTGGAGGCCAGGGTGCACCTGTCACCGCATTTCTCTTCACAGAGAAAAGCAAGGTACAATTCTTCCCAAGAATATTTCTGGGATTCACATTCTCTGAACCTCAGATGAAGGAAAAACAATTCTTAACTCATTTGCTGTGCCTCTGTTTGTGCTGAAGTAGAATGCAACGTGGGGATTGTTCACCCAAAGTGATGGTGTTTTGTTTCCTTGGCCTGTCGGGGCCAAGTGTGTGTGTGTGTCGGGTCTGTTGAGTGACAGTCACGAGTAGTGTGTGGTGTGTGCAGGGTTGAGTACTTGGCAGATTCAGTTTAGATGTAATGTAATATAGTATAATAAAGTAATTAATTAGCCTTCTGATAAGGCAGAATGCAGATTGGAAATATTTGCACATATGATATTAAAGGACACATGAACCACCTTTCTGTGAGACAAAGACACAAGACTTGGCCCATCCCTAACTTAGGACACAGCTAAAAAATAATATATAATTTTTAATCTATTTTTGAAGAACTCTCTAAAACTAATGGCAGATGATATAGCTATTTTATCTGGCAAGCTTCCGTGCAAAATTTCCTGCTGATGCTGGCTCAGACGGATGGAGATTTGGGAGGAGGGGGAAGAACAAAGTGCCACAGGGCTTTATTGGATAAGCCTTGAAAGGTTTCTGCAAGCTTCTATTGCAAGGTTGATGAACCTTGTGTTTGTTAACTTCAGTTTTGCTCAGTGTTTTAACCCTGCTTTATCTCCTGTGGTCCAGATGACACATTCACACATCGTTAGAAAATTCAGTGGGATGCTCTTCAAACATGTGACTTTGCAGCAGTGAGGGCAGAAACTTGATGGTTTTACCTCAATCTATAGTTTTTCAATATTGCTATAGAAAGTGCTTTTCTGTGAAATGTCTACTTTGGTTAGATCATGCAAATTGAGTGCTGGCTACTTCCATAAGTTGAAGAGTAAGAATAACTCAGGAATGTTTCATCATTTGTCCCTGCACTGGTCAGAAATGGTAATTTGAACTCCAAGCTGTAGAAATTTAGCAAAAGAAGTTGGACACTCGGAGGATAAAAATAGAAAAAAATGCTTTGGAAGGATTTTTCCTGCTAGTGAGTGAGTTTCTAGCTGTAGGAGCATCGGAGGGGGTAGCACGGTCGGGACGAGAGATCTCTGAAGCCAGGTTGTGGAACTTGGGGTTTATTGCAAAGGGCCTGGGTGCAGTGGCCTGCTGGGAGCTGCCAGCCACAGCTCAGAGCAGGCCTGAGAGAAGAGAGGGGTTGAGAGGATGAGAGGGTAAGAGCATAAAAAGGTAAGAGAGCAAAAGCAGAAGAGTAAAAAGGGGTAAGCGAGTAAAAGGTCAAGAGAGTGAAGTTCCCATTACAATACAATAAATCATTTTCTGTGTTGAATATTCTACTTCTCACTAACCAATCTAGTACAATACACAAATCCTATAGCATTTCCATACGGCCTATAAGAATCACTACATTACCATACTGTGTTACATTTTAAACCCTAAAAGCTCCTCTTTGGACCCCTTCTGCCAAGCTAGTAGGGTCTGCTCGGCCCCTTGGAGCTGTCTGCAGGCAGAGGGTGTTGTTTCATCAAAGGGGATTACCTTCAGCTGGCCACACCATTGTTTTCCTGATGTCCAGTAACTGAGGGATCTCAAAGCTCGCTTTCATTTCAATCTTGCTTATAGAAATATTACCTCATCCATTCCCGTTTGTTCCCCCACTCGTTCGCGGCTGCCCCAGCCCCTGTGTCGGCTCCGGCACAGTCCGTCCGTCCCGGTCCGTCTGTTCCGGTCCGTCTGTCCCGGTCCCGGCCGCCTGGCCCGCGGCCGCTCCGCTGGCCGTGCCGGGCGGAAGGGGCGGGGGGTCCGTCCTGCCGCGTGCACCGTGGGTACCGCGCTGACCGCACCGAGGCGGGGTCCCCTCTGTCTCATCCCCGGCTGCCCTGACTCTGCTGGGCTCCCGCCGCTGCAGCCGGGGTCAGTCGCCGGCTTTGTCTCTGCCGGATCAGCCGCCGTGAGCCATGGGGGGCCGATCCACGCTCCAGCTCGGTCTGCACCGGAACAGCCCCTGGGACGATCCCGGCTGCAGACCCCGCCTTTGGAGGACCCAGACCCTGAGCTGTGCCGAGCCCCTCGGGCGATTCCCCCTGAAGACCCCGCCTTTGGAGCATCGAGACCCTGAGCTGTGCCGAGCCCCTCGGGCGATTCCCCCTGCAGACCCCGCCTTTGGAGCTTCCAGACCCTGAGCTGTGCCGAGTTCCCCCGTCCTGCCCTGAGCTCCGTTCCCTTGGTAACCACAGCTCCGGCTGCTCAGCGGAACTCTCTAAAGGAATCACCTTATCGAAACACTTAAAGTTCAGGTAAAAGAAAGCCCTCTCCTGATTCATCCTTAAAATACGGGAGAAAAGCTATAGAAGATAAAAATCCAAAAAGAATGGGATAAAGGGATTGGTC